TCCATTTTCATTTTTCTATACTCTGTTTTAATGGTTAAATTAAATTGTATTAATCAAAAAGCCTGTCTAATTAATTGAGTTTTACAGTTTTATCTTTACCAAATTCTGTTTTTCATTATTTTCTGCATTCCATTTTAATGGTTCCATTAAATTTTAATAATCAAAAGCATCTCCAATTAAATGATTTTATTAAACAAAAAAAACAAAAAAACAATTCTGCCTTTGCTATGACAATCTGGCGCTTCTGAATCAGCTACTGTTTTGTTATTAAAACAGTAGCGCGCGCGTGTGTGTGTGAGAGAGAGAGCGAGAGAGACAGGGTCACACCACAGTGGAGTTCCAATTAATTGATTTTATAAAAAAAAAAAAAAAACTTTTTTTCATTTTTTTTTTCAGAAATACTTCACATTTACATTTTTCTCCTAAATAAATTCTGGTAAATAATATTTCTGGTAAATACTCCTTTAAAAAGTGTTTTGATTATAACTGTATTAGTAGTAGACTAGAACACGTGGATATGTTGTTATTCTTACACTATAATACTGAACTTTGATTTCAGTAATTTGGACTATGAGATGGACACTTGCATCTTGCCCTTTAATTTTGCTTTAAAAAAAGGATTTCATAGACATTTGGATTTCATTTGGTTTAATAAAATATAGTTTAATAAAATATTCTTAAACAAATAAATCTTAAGTGTAGATTTTTTTGTGGGAAATTAATCGTTTAGATTAATCGAAATAAAAATAGTCGTTAGTGGCAGCCTAAAAGTAACTTTCCCCAACACTGCTTATTTTTGTAGAAACACAACACAGTGGCTTCAAGTAAGGTTAACCACTGATTTTATTTCACTCATTAATCCAAAATGCTGAAAGCCCACAGGACATTATATAAGGAATCCATGGCGAATTAGGGCCTGTCCCAATACACTTGCAGTCTTGGCCATCATTTATCAGGATCAGGAACATTTGTGCCCCAAAATTGCAAGATATTGAGGAAAACTCCCCAGTCTTAGCTCAATTAATTGATATTACACGTGATTTGGTAGTAAAACGTGACGTGTTTGCTCATTTTATTGATGCAGAGCATTTTAAACATTTGTAACTGCTTTTTATCACTTAATTAGAAAACCACAATTAATGTTAATGTGTCATGTTACATGTGAGCTACTGAACACACATTCAGAAGTTCAAAGTGCAAAATATTGAAAATCAAAATGTGTAAATAAAGCTCTGTAAAAACTTTACTTATATTTTTTGCATCACTATGTTGTAACTAAGTGTGTCCCATCGGATAATCAAACATTCCACACACACTTTAACATGTGGGTCAAATACGTGGTAAGCAGACAAGTATTTGATAAATGGTTAAGTGCAAACATTTATAAACAAATAAATAAATGAATTCACTTACAAACAAACATTTATTTAAAATATCATTGTTCTACAAAAGACAACACACCTTACAGCTGCAATGTAGTTGCATGAGGTAATACACAAAACAGGTTCATCATAGACAGTTTCCTCCCAAACACGCTGATTGGACCTTTCTCGACTCGTGCAGCAGGTGGATTGCCAAGAAATTCATCCCACCACTGTCCCATAAGGATTTACTGAGGATCAATTGAAATCAATGCGATTCTTTCGAATCCTTCTGTTATCTTACCGAGGCTTTAACTCAGAGCACAAGTGCAGGGCTGCTTATAATATTAGCTCAGATAATCCTGTCTAGTTAAAGGACAGGTTCCATTGTCAAAGCCCACTGGATCTAGCCTAGCAAATTAGCTCCCAACAGTCCCTATAAACTGTATTATAAGGATACTTAAATTATCAGGCATGCAGAGTAATGTAAACAAACTGTATGCTACAGTGCTGATTCACAGCAGAATTCAAACAGGTCCACGATGCACCTGCCACCGACACTACATCACTGACCATAAAAGTAGCATGCAAATCAGAAAAATGCACAAAACCCTAGCCATTCATTATATAAGAGTATATAGGCTATTTCGTGTGTGGTTATTGCATAACAACGCGATCTTACCTGCGTTGCCAAAGAAAAGAAGCACCAAGATTATCGCCTTGGTCGGAAACATTGCAATCCCTTTATGAAACACAGTGTGTTTACTGTTTATTCTTGTCTTCCGTGCTTGAAATGAAGAATTTGTAATCCGTAAAATTACGCCTGCGAAGTTTTCTGGACGGGATGCGAATATGCACGAGGATCCTGGTCGTTGAAAGGTACTGATATGGTTGCGGTTTAAATTCGCTTGCCCATATGTCGCGCGCTGAGAGAGGCAAAACGCCGCTTCAAGATGCACGCGAATTAATCCGCCCAATCAGCAGCGCCTTTGAGGAAAGACGACGACATGATGATCAAATAATACACTGAACCCAACCTGGAAACTAAATACGACCACCACATACACCTGGACTGCCCAGAGTAAGGAGTGGGAGGGGAAAATCAAGACATATATAAACAAATCTTTTTTCATATATAGTATTTCTGGTAGCCTAGGTTTAATTAGACGCGGATATTTAAAAGGATAGTTCACGCAATGGTGAACATACTGTCATTTACCCACTCGCATGTTGTTACAAATCTGTAAAATGTTCCTTTTTGGTGCAACAAAAGTGGAGATATTACGCAGAATGTCACATTCAGTTATTGTGTGGAGAAGGATATGCTACAACGCGAGCAGTGTTGGGGGTAACTCATTACAAGTAACGCGAGTTACGTAATCAGATTACTTTTTTCAAGTAACTAGTAAAGTAACGCATTACTTTTTAATTTATAAGAGAATATCTGAGTTACTTTTTCAAATAAGTAACGCAAGTTACTTTTTTTCCAATTTATTGATTGACAGCTCTCCTGTCCCCATGTTGAGAGAAATCAAAAGATGTTACTGTAGTTCTAAAATAAATATGAATATGCATTAATTCATCTCACTTACAAAAAAATAACGCAGATTCAGTATTCCTCAAAATGAATTAAAAAAAAAATGCAACTCAGAATATGACGCAAACCTGCAATAATTAATGTTAAACAACACAAATATCCTTTATGTATTTAATCCCATTCTATTAACCAATGTCTTTGCTTCTGACCTTCGATGATACAGTTCAACCATACTAATAAGCAAAAAATACTCTAGACGAACATTTGCGTGTCTTTTTGTATTGCTGAAGTGTGTTGAAATTTCTTCTTCTGCATTCTACTGTACGGACGTAAATTTACTTTCCCTTCAGCCTGAGGCTTATTCATTTCACTTTTATAAAGGCTTTTATATTTGCCAAAAATATAACTTTTTTATTTTAAAAACAAACAAGAAAGCCCTGTCCAGATGTAAAAAGTAACGCAAAAGTAACGTAATGCATTACTTTACACTAAAAGTAGCTAAGTAACGTAATTAGTTCCTTTTTTATGGAGTAACGCAATATTGTAATGCATTACTTTTAAAAGTAACTTTCCCCAACACTGAACGCGAGTGAATGGTGACTCGGTCCTTAATATTCTTTGTAACAACATGAAGAGGAGAAAATTGTGACGGATTTTTTTTCTATTCCATTCATCTTTCCTCAATATAGCGAGGTGTATTTAATATGCTCTAAAGGCGGTGCCCCATTTTGTCATTCTGAAAATAATGATCTCCCTCTCGGATCAGTTCACTGATGTTTCCTTTATCTAGCTCTCTCTATCCCATGCAGGGCTAAAGAGGAACTGCTTTTCACTGTGGCTTTAGAAAAGAATCGTGGTGAACTTTTGGAGAACAATGACCATCTAAAAGTATCCAATTTAAAGCCTTGCTGAGGGGCTGGCCAACTGTTTTAGTGTAAGTGAAAACTGGCAGTAGACTTGTTATTGTCCTCATGCATTACACATTGAGGTTTATTTGCATGATTATATTTGATTCCAAAAAGAAATATACCTGAAACACAAGATGTCTTTACACAGTTGAGGTAGGCAGGTATATTACATGATTAATAATTTATCATTTCATATTTTTTTAGTATTATGTATTTGCAATTGCAATTTTTATGTAAATTAATTTTAGATTTATTTATTTTTTGTGGTTAAGATAGCATTTTGCAGATTAAAGACACCAATATAAAAAAATGTATGGGAAACAACCTGAAACAGGCAAAGTGAAACAAAATAGTTCATCATCATAATATTATTCTCCTTCATTTTGGTTATCATCAGTATAGCATAATTTGAGTACAATTCCTGGACAATGTTGCTTTGTTAGTAAAGATCTCAAAGGCTATCAGATTACCACCACGAGCAATCATGTCATTAAAAGCGGGTGTCATTGTCATTTGAGACATCTTGCATGGCATAGTAACCTTCTTTGTGTGGTTTCTGTGCCATTGTGATTGTTTCTTTGCACAGCATAGAATTCAATAGGTGTGCCTATTTTCTGCCTCCCAAATTTTCATCTGCCTGAAAATAAACTGATAATACGCTTTTTGTCATCCGGATCTGTGGTAATAACCGTCAGAACTGTCTGAAACATCGACAGTTCACATGCACAGCAGTTTCTTTCATTTTTGCCATATTAATATGTGGTTGTTCTATTTTTGCAGTTGCAGCCAAACAAAGTACTTTGATACTTACTGTTAAAAAAATATTTTCACGTTAGACATGCATTGGATTTGCTATGGTGTCTTTTATAGGTAAGTTACTTTTAAAAGTAATGCATTGCAATATTGTGTTACTCCATAAAAAAGTAACAAATTGAGTTGCTTAGTTACCATTTATGTAAAGTAATGCATTACGTTACTTTTGCATAACTTTTGGTCACCTGGACTGGGTTTGCTTTTTTGTTTATTTAATAACAAACAAACAAAAAGTACAATTTTTGGCAACTGTAAAGGCCCTATCACACAAAAAGTGAAATTAAGCCTCAGGCTGAATGAAGTGCCTCTGTCTCTGCCCCTCACTCCCAATTTCTCTCAACACAGGACAAGAGAGGTGTCAATGAATACATGGGAAAACAAAGTAACTTGCATTACTTATTTGAAAAAGTAACTCAGATATTTCATTTTAAATTTAAAAGTAATGCATTACTTTGCTAGTTACTTGAAAAAAGTAATCTGATTATGTAACTCACATTACTTGTAATGTGTTACCCCCAACACTTATAATAATTAACATATTGCATGTTGAAATTAAATTGCAAAATGAATTAAATTGGACGGTACAGTGGAAAAATGTGGGGAAATTTAATTTAAAAAATAAAAAATAAACTTTTTTTTTTTCTCAGGATAGTCTTGTAGTAGTTTAAAGTTTTGAAACTCTTCTGTTTGCGTTTTCACAGAGGAGCTGGCAAGAATTGTACAGATAGCACTAACAGCTAAGGGACATGTGTTTCTGCCTCATTCATGTCTGGGCAAGAAAATTATGACAATATAGCATTCATCACTGTCACGCTTAATATGCCCATTCCTACTCTAATAATTTATAGCCTTAATTTCTTTCTCCTGTGAGGTCTTTTCTAAAATTATTAATCATGCAATTGGCATGGAGAGAAGGGGTGAAAGCGCTGAATGATGAATCGTTTATATCTGCTCACATCTGCTGGTCAGACAATATACTTGCAAGCACGAGCCTGCAATTTGGTATATTTTCCTGTAGAGGACAGACTTGTAACGTATTCGAAATGCAGAGCTATAATCTTCCTCGTATAACTATAGAAAGCTGTGTATATAGAGCATGAAAACTTTGATTGCTTCCATTACAAGAGCACAACAAGAACTGAAAGATTTTCTTGAAAGTGGGCAACAAAATTGATTGCAGATCTCAACAGATTCTCACGTCCCAGATAAACAGTCTGTCTTATCAGAGTAGCCTACTGAACAGTAAAAGATCAGTAAAATACTTTCCTTTGGGTTGTGCTTGGCAGCACGAAATAATTATTTTACACATTAATTAACATTTCATAGTAATGTATATTTTAACAGCATTCTTTTAAATAATTCTTTAAAAAAAATATCCAACTTATGTGTAACGTAATATTTGGTGCTTCCAGTATCATCCACTTCCAGTTATTTTAGCTGTACAAAAACAGCCTGTTATGTTGCTTGATATTGCAAATTGTTATTTCTTATCATTTTACTTTAAATTATTATCATAAGCATGAACACATTGGTTTGTAGCACAAATAGTTTTACTATTCACTGCACTTCATAATTCTTAATTAGTTACTATAGCAGCTAATGAAACCGAAGTCTTACATATTTACAGGAAATAGCTTACTCCCACTATGCAAAATAAGGTGGATAACATAAATGTCATTTTCTTTTTCACTTAGATTTATTGCATCTTAATTTAACCTAAAATTATTTGGGCTATTGGCTACTTTTAGAAGGTTTTTAATATTTTCAGGTGGTTAAAATGGCCTTGCTGAAAAAAAAAAAAGCTAGTTGACTAGTCTTAGCTGGTCTCCCAGCCTGACCAAGCTGGTTTTAACTGGTTGGTCAGTTGGTCTTCCAGCCTCACCTATGGGCCAGCTAAAGAAGTGGTCAAAACCACCAAGTTTTTTTATATATACAGTATATATAAATGTTTGACAAATGTTCATGGTTTTGTTTTGTTTGTTTGTTTGTTTGTTGTTGTTTTCCAGTTCCACTCCTGGAACTTTTCCATAAATATATGCATTTTGTCCTTCCTATAGTATCAAGAACTGACGTGACACAGTATAATTCAATGCAGCTGGTGCGTAACCCCCTTTATACCCCACCACACATTACACATACATTAGCATTTCAGACATGTACACAATTTATGATAATCATAATTGGAGCTACTTTTAATTGTAAACAGTTTCCAGATTCTCTGGATTTCCTGTATGTTCTGAGCACAAATATCTTGCAGTCATTTTCATTTTCAAGCTAATAAATTCCCCTGTTTGTAGAGATAAACGCCTAATGTAATGATGTTTTCCGGAGAAGAATCGCCCACTGTGACAAATGAGAGAGAGCTGAATTACTGCCATTGGATGTAGCGGCAAGACGACTGTCTTATAAAAAATTAACCAAAATAACAGAATCCATTACATGCCTCTAAATGCCTTGATTAAAAAAAGCAAATTGGAATAAACAATTTTAGTTTGATTATGGTTACTTGTTTTGTTTCCCCCCATAATGCAAATTAAAGTCTGAAGTGTGGTTTGGTTGACAAAAGATTGTCACATAAAGGGCTTGCGAGTCTTAGTTTGCATTTTTATAGACCCGGTTTTCCATGACAAAAAGGTTTAACATGCACAAACGCGTAAACATGTTAACAATAAATCTATATGCTCATTGT